AAAGCCCACTGCGAACATTAAGAAAGGAAAAAAGAAAGAAAACGGAAAAAAAGTTCAGATGTTTTATGAAATGTGTGAATCAGGAAATTGTTTAAATAGCAAACTGAATGATTGTTTTTCTCTACTTCACAAAACACTTTAAATTTTAAAATGGAAAAATTTTATCTTTTGTTTCAAATTTTTTATTTTAATAAAAAATTCAATGTATAACATGGATGCATAAAAACCTAATTTCATTTAAGTGTTAAATTATGTTTAAAGTAACAGATTATAATTAAAAATGTCTCTGGACCTTTCCTGGTTGTTGATTTTCTTTATTCAGACCCCGCTGGTTTTTAATTGGTTACCTCTGCCATAAAATATATGGTAGGCTTTCTCAAATAAACCCAGTGTAGCCCTGCTGGGTATCTCAACAGGAAAACAAAGGATTATCTACACTCAGAACGATTTGTCTTCAAATGACCCCTCTTCTCTGGCCATTACAGTCCCAGACCTCCATTATATGGAAGTGGAGTCAAAGTTCCCTCATTATTTGTTGTCTTTTATCAGGATGATTGGGTTATCTATGTCTTCATTGTAAAGAATGATCAAACAAGTCACATTCCGCTACGCAAACAGCAGCTCCAATGTTAACTCAAAAAGTCAGGTGAAAGAGACTATAGCTGACCGAGCAGCATGTTAGTGGACGGTATATCCACATGCTGTTCTCTGGAAAGTTGGAAAGACTTATTGATCCACATACTGTACAATAATATTGGTGTAGATCAATATGTTAACTGCCACTTTATCTACAGCATCCATGCGTATATGAGAGATTTCATTAAATTCAATTCAGTTTATTTCTATAGCGCCAATTCACAACACATGCTGTCTCAAGGCACTTTACAGTTCACCAGATCATACAGTCAAAATGAAGTTTTCTATCTAAGGAAAAACCAGTTGATTGCATCGACTCATTGACTCAAAGGCAATCCCTCACACTAAGCATGCTTGTAGCGACAGTGGAGAGGAACAACTCCCTTTTAACAGGAAGGAACCTCCAGCCGAGGCTGACTGGGGTGCAAGGAGACAGAAGAGGAGATATAAAAAGGCAACTGTAAAAGACGGCCCCGTCCAGGAAACACAAAGACAGGCAGACGAGCTCCGAGCCAGCTCCCATGTCAGAGGATGAAGAGAGCACATCCAGCCAGTCACAGTCAGAGAAACAGGACTACACTGGAAAACATGCCCATCTACAACATCTATAAACAAAGGTGTTGATGGCAGCAGCACAGCTGATATTTCTCTCCAGGTTGGCGTCACAGC